AATCAAGACATTTAATCCATCCTCCTCAACCCTGCTTTACCAATCTGATTAAACTAGGTTACTCCCTCTCCCTGCTGTCTCTGACACTTAAAAGTTGCCTGAACCAATCAAATGAACATGACCTGATTTGGCTTAGGCAAACAACTAGGTAGAATGCGTATCATAATTACTTACACTAACTAAGCTGGGCTTTTCAGATTCTTTAGCTAATAATACTTCCTAGTAGGAAGGACCACTGAGAAGCACACAAGGCTTTAAAATTGTTGCCACGCACGGATTTCCAGCAAGGACATTGGAGACAAACCATATTTGATGGAAAAACTATATTTTTACATCAATACCTATGCTTACTGAAGTTCACTTAAAAACAAAACAATCTCAAATATTCAGTTCTACTGTCTATAAACACCACTGTAGAAAGACAACAGAAATTTCAGAAATGAAACTGTCTCTTCCATACTCAAAAGTAGTGTAAAAGTACTTTTTAGGTCACATGATTACTTTTTGCTCTTGCTCTCAGATTCTGACCACTAACCCAGCCTCAAGTCTTGTATATTTGTTTATCCTACCTCTGACTCAAGTGGTTCTTTATTATTATTATTATTCAAGTATAATTAACACAGTGTTCTATTAGCTTCAGGTGTACAACATAATGATTCAACAATTCTATACACTTCTCAGTGCCCATCAAGATAAGGGTACTCTTAATCCCCATCACCTATTTCACCCATCCCCCCACCCTGCCCTCTGGCAACCACCAGTTTTTTCTCTATTTTTAAGAGTCTGGTTTTGTTTTGTTTTGTTTTTTGTCTTTTTGTTTGTTCATTTGTTTCTTAAATTTCACATATGAGTGAAATCATATGGTATCTGTCTTTTTCTGACTGACTTATTGCACTTAGCATTATACCTTCTAGGTCCATCCATGTTGTTGCAAATGGCAAGATTTTATTCTTTTTTATGGCTGAGTAATATTCAGTTATATAGAGAGAGATATAGATACAGATGTAGATATACACCCATCTTCTTATCCATTTAGCTATTGATGGCCATATTTGGGCTGCTTCTATATTTTGGCTATTGTAAATAATGCTGCAATAAACATAGGGGTGCATATATATTTTCAAATTAGTGTTTTCTATTTTTTTCAGGTAAATATTCAGTAGTGAAATTACTGGATCATATAGTAATTCCATTTTTAATTTTTTGAGGAACCTCCATACTGTCTTCTATATTCTTGAGATACAACTGAGAGTGGAAAGACCACCACATAATACTTCAAATACCAGCACCCCCCCCAAATTCTATAAAGTCTTCTTGAACACCATATACCTACTACAATTCCAGGACCAACAGTCAAACTGCTTCATCTGGAATTGGGTTAAAGTTAACGGAACATTCCAGATTAATCCATATCAACAGCAATTAACCTAGGTCATTTGAGGATGAATTCTAATTTTAAAATAACTAAACCTGAGGAACTGTTTCTTATGAAACATAAGGTAAGTCTAATAACAAAGACTTGTTTGATTTCTTAAGAAATGGCATGATATTTAGGAGAGAACATAGGATTTAGCTAGACTTGCATTTGAACTCCAGATTTCTCCCAGTTGTGTGATCTTAGTCAAGTAACTTATATTCCAGATGTTCATTTTCTTCTCATTAAAATGCCATAGTAACAATGTTGATATTACAGAATGTTGGGTCCAGGTGGTACCTCTACCAATGCAAGTATGGGAGCCAAAGAACACCTTGCAAAGGCTTTTTATTTCTCCCTGCTTTACTCACAGATGCATTCTTTTTTTTTTTAAAAAAAAAAAGAGATTTTATTTATTTATTTGACAGAGAGAGTGAGAGAGAGAGAGCAAAAGCAGGGGGAGTGACAGAAGGAGAGGGAGAAGCAGACTCCCCACTGAGCAAGGAGCCTGATGCAGGACTCGATCTGAGGACTCTGGGATCACGACCTGAGCTGAAGGCAGACGCTTAATCGACTGAGCCATCTAGACACCCCTCAAAGATGCATTCTGAGAGCAGTTCCCAAAGAAAGGCTCAGAAATATTTTAGGCAATGCCGCCAATAATGAGTGAATGGATTACACCCAAAGGTACAACTTTGTAGATAGGGCTCATTTGGATGTATAAGCTCTGGTTTACTTGCTAAAAATACCACGGGGACCACTTAACTCTAGGGTATAAGATTAACAACAGCAGCAACAACAGCTACCATATGGATGCTTACATCACTAGGATGAATGCCTTACCTACATTAATGATGTAGATTAATTCACTTATTCCTCCCTAGCACCAATGAGATACATGATCTATATTTGTATTTTATAGCCAAGAAGGTGAAATCATAGCGATTAAGAAAATTTCCCAAGGTCAAAAACTGAATATCAGAGCTGGGATTTTTTTTTTTTTTCCCAGACCAGTAAATGTTAGTGGAATTACTGAAAGACAAATATCTAGGTTACAATTCTTCTTTCTCCATTGTGAGGCTTCCCAACAGCAGGATCTATTACAGCTCAGAGAGACACAGGAGAAAATGTAGCATGGCATGCAAAGACAGTATGCCTCCATGGAGTCAGTCTGCAGAGGGGGACACAAGGAAGACTGAAATTCATATTCTGAATATTCAAACTGACATCCATATGTCATGTAGCATAATTCTCAGGGGCCTACTGTATACATTGCTATGACAATTTTGCTGGATTGTATTGGAAATCAGTCTTCCCCAGTATGAAAATATCCTCTGTCTCCAAACGGTCAGAAGTGTCACAGATAGGACGCTAACATTCAAATTAAATTCCATTTAGCGTATCCCATATGAATGACTCACTGAGGTCAAGCTTTCCAAGGCATGAGTTCAGGGATGAAGAGTAGCTAGGGAGCAGCCGTAGTCCTCTAGCTGGCTTGCAGTTACCAGTTATAGTCCTAGTAGAAAGTGGGGAACCAAAGAGGGCTTCCAGCACAAAGCAAGCGTCAGAAACAGGATGGATGAGGTTGTTGGGCAGGGGCAGCTGTTCTGCACCCATTTGGATTTACTTCTGTTATTCAACACCAGAAAAGCCCAATTGCAACTCTGTCACTGCCCTGCCATGTTTATAGGCTGATGCCAGAGCCCTTAGGTTTGTCTTTTAACCTCGAATGGGTTATGGACATATCTATATTGAACTTCAACTTTTGACTGTGATGTAGGGGAGGAATTTACCCAGCTGGGATCAGAATGGGATCACCAATGGGATCACCCATGCCCAGACTTGGGACATCTGTTGACTCTCCTAAAAGGAACAACATTCAGGAACATGGTGCAACTATTTAATTTACTATGGGCGAGGCACTGAAGCAAGTCTAAAGTTCCCGCCCTCATGACACTTGCATTCTGCTGGGGAAAGCCAGGTGGTAATAAAGCAATTAGAAAACATGATCACTCCATATGGTGACTAATACTAAAACCATGAAATCTGTGAGGTGTCACAGTGACAGGGTAGAGTTGAGATCAGGTGGTCTCAGAAAGCATTTCTGAGAAGCTGCTATTTTTGCTGAGATGTGAGTTACCTAGAGGTGCCAGCCATGCTGAGATCTGGAAGAAATCCTTATAGTTGCCGTTGTCTCTGTTAGGAATGAGCCTGGATTAATTAAGATACAGAAAGAAGATGGTAATGTGGCTGCAAAATGGTGAATGAGGGGAGAATAGTAAGAAATTAAGGCCCAATGGTAGCAGGCCAAATAATGTAGAGTAGAGAAAGCCAAGGAAGGAAGATGGCATGATATTTTAAGGGAGAGAGGAAGCCACTGGAGTGTTTTAAGTGCAGGAGTGATAATATTGGATTTGGGTTTTTACAGTCAAATTTTGGTTACTGTGAGGAGGAGAGGTTTTAGGGCAATGAGGGTGAAAATAGAGAGACAACAGACTGTTGTAGTGTCCAGGCTGCAGTAGACATGGGCAGAGGTGCTTCGGGTTAGAATGTATTCTGGAGGGGCCCCAGGTGGCTCAGTCAGTTAAGTGTCTGACTCCTGGTTTGGGCTCAGGTCATGATTTCAGGATTGTGGGATCAAGCCCCGCTCTGGGCTCCATGCTCAGCAGGGAGCCTGCTGTAGATTTGCTCTCCTTTTCTACCTCCCTCTACCCCATCCCCCTGCTTGCTCTCTTGCTCTCTCCCTCTCCCAAATAAATAAATAAATAAATAAATAAATAAATAAATAAATCTAAATGAATGAATGAATGAATGAATGTGTTCTGGAGGTAAAGACTCACAAGGACTTGTGGATGGACTGGACCTGACGGTAAGGGAAAAATCAAGCTCTCCTGGGATTTTTACTTAAGGAACTGTGTGTTTTATTGAGTTTGGAAAAACCAGTCCAAAGAAGAGCTGAAAAACTCCCAGCAGTAAAGATCCAGGAAGAGCTCCCCCTTGGCCATACTGAATCTGAAATCCCTACTAGCAATTCTAGGGGAGATGGTGGCTGAGTACGTACATGGACACACATGTCTCCATCCTAGAAGTCAGTGAGGTCAGAGCTGGAGATAAATATTTGGACATTTGTGAATCATTGCTTAATAGGTGAGATTTAAAGTTGTTCTTTGTGATTGTTGTTAGAGGGAGGAAAAAAACGATGAAAAGAGAGTTCACATGGAAAATCACGGTTTGAGCTAATGTGTCTGGAGGTACCTGTCCATGGTGGCAGCTCTCCAAGCTGTCAGTGCCCCACCCAACCTCTCTGGCACTTTCCCAGAGCTGCTAACTGATAATGAGAAGGTTTCCTTGGACACGCTGCTCTGATAGAACAGTGAGCTTCCCTGTGAAAACGTCTCCTCCTGTCCTCCTTCCAGGGATGCAGCCTTCCCATCTGGCCCAGGGACAGGAGCCATCAGGCCCACAGGCCAGCAAACACACCTCCCATCTGAGGGTCATGACTTCCTCCCTTACCTCCATCTTCATCCCCATCCCCCAACAGGTAAATGTCTGACTGAAATTGACAATGAGATGCCAAGGGACTCACCATTCAAAGTCCCAGTCGGCACAGGCACAGGGTTCTGAGACCACTGTCCCTGAAGAGTCTCGGCCCAGGGCACACTGAGCTCCTGGCTTGCGTTTCTTGAATATTTTCCTTTCTCCCATGACGCAGGGCTCCCCCTTAGAAAGAAAGTCCATAGTGAGAGAGGCAGAAAAACACAAAGGAGATGAAATAAACCAGCTTCTCGATAAGAAACATTAGCCTTTTCATTCTCTTTTAGTCACTCTTTGTAGCAATCTCTTTCCCAGTAACCATTCAGGAGTCTCGAGGGAAAAAGGGCCAGTCTGTTACCACCATAGCAGAGGAACATCATAGAGCTGTCCCATCACTACCCTTCACCCCACCTAGCCAATGATGTCTGCTTCATCTTGTTTCTTTTCCACCTTTAGAGAGAATGCACCTTCAAAGAGAGTTCACAGATCTCCAAATTGCCCAAATGACCTTGGCATAAATTCTAGTGGAAAAGAACCCACTTCTGGCACAGTTTTAACACCATCTTCAGAGTAAAATTGAAGCTGGCCCCAAAAGTTCTCTCTCTCTAATAAACAACCATGCCCAAGTCCTTATTCCCAAGCAAGGGCAAAAAGAGGAGAAGCTGATACAAATTACATGAACCCAATGGTTCTGAGAATGCAGAAGTCTGCTTACATTGCATAGCAACAAATATCTGCCATTTCTACTAGAGCTACTCACCCCCATCCCTCACCCTTTCTCTATGGTCCTGTTTTCAGTGTTCTTGGGGCTCTTACTGCAGGCTGGCCTGACAAATGTTCTCACCCTCTACACTGGAAGGTGAGATGATGAAACCGTTGAAAGGTCTCTTAGCTGTCTGGGCTTACTTCTCCACAGATAGAGCTAAAGCCCCAGCTTATCATTGTTACCTCACCCCTAGGCTACTTGGTGACCTCAATGGGTAGATCGGAATCCCAGGGTGCAAAAGGGTACTGAAATACCATCTGTCCATGCTGGACCTGGATGTGTGGACTCCAACCCTTCCCCGCAAATCTACTATTATCTTTGGATGGCTCGCTACCTTCCACCTCCAAATAGGAAGGCCCAGAGATGACCAAACAGTGCTTGTGGAAGCTCCACCTCCTAGAAGCCAGTGTGCCCCTACCCTATGGTGTACCTGATTGAGCAGGTGCCAGGTCTGATAGTCCTCCTTGGTGCAGCGCCAGCTGAAGATAGATTTGTAGTCCACTTTCACCAACTGCCATTCAGAACGGAGGCTGAAGTGGCCAAAAACTCTAAGTGTTTAGGGGAGGCATGGGAGAGACAAGCAGAGAGAGCCCCCTAGTCAGTCACTAATGCACAAAGACTGGAGGGAGAGAGACCGAATTGCAGCCTGGATTCAACAGATTCTTCCAAAATGAGGTCTTTGAAGGTCACCAAGGACAAAGTGCACCATTTTATAACTCTAGCCAATTGACATGGTATTCACAGCGGGTTTAAAACCAACCATTTTTTCAGTTACAAAACTAATATATGTGCTTTATAGGAAGCATTGAAAACACAGAAAGATATGAAGGAAAAAATTCACCCAATAGTTCAAAATCTTCCACTCAGAACTGTTGTGCATATCTTGACATGTAGCCTTCTTGTTTCACCTTAATGCAAGCACAGTTATTTTATCTACTGATGTCTACTAACAGGGACTCAGTTTTCTCACCTGTAAAGTAAATTGTATGTATGTATGTTGGAGGGGGGTGGGTTAGCTAATCTAAAGTATGGCTTCCAGTTCCAATATTCTGACTAAATCTCAGTGTGTTTTAGTTGAAATCCTCATTACTTAATTCACATGAATATCACTCCTTCCCCCTTCCCTGAAAAATCATAGTAGCTTCATAAAAGGAACTCCTATTTATGTATAGTAAAGAACCATACCGGTAATCTGTGTGACTTAGATAATCAATACTGACCTTTTCAAAGCCCAGAAGTTGATGGCCCTATAAATATGAATGATCAATCATTTCTAGAAAAATAGAAAAAAAGACTGATCATCCATACTCCACTTGGGTGGCATATCTTGTAATTACGACACAAGACATCTATCATAGTGCTATAAATGGGAGAGCAATCACTCTGGGAACCTAAACCAATGGAAGTCTTTCAAGGCACTGGATGTCTTCCATGTGAGTAAAACTTAATCATGCTCCCAGCCCTGGATTCTCGTCTCCCCACAGCCAGCTCTTCCTATGGTGACACCTAAGAGACTAACTCTCCTCCAGGGACAGTCCCTGCTGCTATCTGAAGGATGAGTTCAGATGCTTTGGGAGGAGTGAGAGCGGACTAAAATTATGAAATAGACAAAGAAATAGGATCATTTTGTGGATCGTACAACTTATATTACATCTTGGGAAATGCCCTTTAATGTTCTATCAGTTTAAAAGTTAAATACAATTTTTTAGAGTCTTGTCTAAAAGAAGATTAAACAGACTTTGAGGTGAATGAGTCTTGGGGATAAAAGGAACAGGCCAGGGAATATAGTCGATGATACCATAATCGCACTGTATGGTGGCAGATGGTAGCTACACTTGTCGTGAGCGTAGCATACCGTATGGAGATGCTGAATCACTATGTTATACACCTGAAACTCATGCAAACTGTGTGCCAACTATACTAAAAGAACAAAACCAAAAACGTATGGTCTTTATAAGAATCTTAGCTCAGCACTGAGTAGCAGAAGCCATGGGGCTAGAATATTTTGGGTTATGTGGCCAACAGCGTGTGAAGCAGAGTGAATGTAAGCACCTCCCCCCTGGGTTCTCTCTGTTCTCCTTCACTCATGCGGTATTCAGTGGTCTCCAAACCCAATTCATCCATGCCAGGTTACCACTGAAGTACTTCCACCTTTTAGTCTCAATTCATTTCATGGAGAGGTCAGGAGTCAGTTGCTTTTAAATCTCTAACAAAGCAGTTATATCTTAAAAATTTCTACTTGTTTGAAGAGAGAGTTATATTGAAAGATCGTCGGAAGAAACAAACAAACAAAAACCAGTGGGAGGAGACTTGGATGAATGTCTTCTGTCTTTATCCAGCCCATCTAAAACCTCCCACATTCAAATGCTACCTCCTCTAGTCAGTCTTCCTTGATTGGAGTACTCTGAGTAGAAGAATTTTAGTGATGCCAAACCAAACACTTCCACTTACTCCAAATAGCTTACAGTTAAATTTCATGGATCACAAAACACATCATGTCCGATTAATCCCATTCCTTTCTATGAAAGGGTTACGAGGCAGACAGAAGAAGGAAATATGAGGCACATGATTCACCTAGATATTAGCAAAGCATCTGACAGTGTTTGCCATAACAGTCTTGAAGAAAAGATGAAAAAATATGAGCCAGATGCCAGTAAAATTATGTGACTGAACAGTACCTAATTAAAGCATTAAAATCAACCAGGAGGGAGGGCGTGAGTAGTCAGCTACAAGGTTCTGCTATCTGCTCTTTCCTGTTTATCATTTTTATTAATGACTTGAAGACATGAAAATAATGGTCCTCATTGGAAATCACATTTTCTGATGACACAAAGCTGGAAGAAACGGTCAATATGCTTGATGGCAGAATCAGGACCCAAAAAGGTCTTGACAGACTGAAGGGAGAGGCTGAATCTACTAACATGTGGAGTCACAGAGAGAGATGTCAGGTCCTCCCACTCACAATCACATAAGTATTGAATAAATGAAATAATGCTTGATGCAATTCAGGTTAAATAATAATAGTAGTAGTAGTGATAATTAATAATAATAATGTGGCAGCTTAAGACTTGTCATACACAATGTGATTAATATAAGTGAATGCTCCAGAGAAACCAAAAATATTTAAGATGATCTTAGAATGCATTAATTACTGCATTTTGTTTATTACCTAGAATGAAAGAGGCAATATCCAGGTCAATTTTACATTAACTAGATCACAAAGAAAAATTGTAGTTAGTTTTGGATGTCACCATTCAATCCCCTGAAATCTTAAATAAAAATATGCATTTGTTGGCCCATGTGTATTTATTATGGAGAAATTACATTTATTTTATCAGATTTTCAAAGGAGTTCACAGTTCCCTAAGCTTAAGGACCACTGAAAAAGAGAGTACTAAGATGATGTACTGGATGGAATAGTTGGCTCCCCCAAGGGACATGAGCATGTTCTATTTCCTGTAACCTGTGAATTTGACCTTATCTGGACCTTTGCAGACATAAGTAAGTTAAAAATCTTGAGATGAAGTCATCCTGGATTATCAAGTTGGGCCCTAAGGACAAGGGCCCTTATCCTTATAAGAGATACAAGACGAGAGACAGGCAGAGAGGAGGAGGCCATGAGAAGAAGAAGGGAAGATTGGAGTTCAGTGGCCACGAGCCAAGGAACACTTGGAGCCCCCATAAGATGGACGTCTTCCCTCCCCACTAGAGGCAGTGCTGTCCTGCTGCCATCTTGATCTTGGACTCTGGCCTCCAGAACTGTTAGAAAATTAATTTCTAATTGTTTAGCCACCTAATTTGTGGTGATTTGTTACAGCAGCCACAGGAAGTTCATACAGATGGTGACATGATTCAAGACCACTTTTCCTCTATCTAGCCACGAAGTGGTGTGAAAACACTGGCCAGTTAACCGGTAGATGACACAGGAAGGGGCAAGGGAGGGGAGACCAAAAAGTGGGCACTCTGGGGAGATCTCCTGAGTATAAAAAAACTAACAAAATGGAAAAATGTGAAAGTTTACAAAATGCGAGAGAGCTTTCAAATGGACAAACTTGCCCACAGAGGAAAGGAATGCTCAAGACTGAGTAAACACAGAACCTCAAGCTCAGACTTAGCCATTTCCCAGGGCTGCTGCTGAGCCGGATGCGAGTGTCCTCCAGCGGCCTGGCCTCACTGACACAGACCCTCTAAGGAAGTGCATGATGTTGGTCTTCCCAACTCTCCGGGTTATCTGTTTCTCGGCTCAGAGAGCTCATTTCAGAACTGAACACAAAAATAGGGGCCCAGTCAGGACTTGTACTAATCCAGCTTCTTCTCTCCTGCAATATTGCCAGGCACACCCTTTCAGCTAGATTTCTTTGGCTTCTACCCCAGATGTCCTTACATGGTGTTTCCCAGGTCTTTCCCCAAATTGTAAATTGATACGTTAATATTTTTACTTGGGACAGTGCCAGTCTGCTCTCCCATGTGATCATTTTCACATGCCATTTAAGCATCTACTGTTAGGATTATGAGCTTTGCTCATTTTCACATTGGACCCCAACTAAGCTGAGGGGAGCTCAACTAAAACCCCTTGGCAACTTTCAGACATTAATGTACTCCCCATCTCTCCATCCATTATCAGTTCTGGGAAGAAAAATGTTCATCATGGGCCCTCTCCTGTGGGGCATAAGCAACTGAAACATGGTCTCTCTTTTGCATGTATCTGGGTTCTCTAATTCCGCTCAATACTGCATTCATTCACAGCTCTTCTGATTAGAGCCCATGGAAGCCAAGGAAATGACAGAAACGCAGCAAACTTAGCAGGAGATAAAATAAGGACTAATTTAAATTCAAGAATTTCTCATCCCTTTTCATAACCACTCTTAGAACAGATGTTAACATTCACAATAGGATTTGTGAAAGTGAGAACCCAGCAGAGAAACCAGGGTGACCATCATGAGAAACGATGCCCGTCACTTTGGGGTGATAAGCACCCACGAGGTGGATTAGGGATAGAGAAAGCCAGACCATTTCTAATTAATAATAAAAGAATTTCCCAAATAATAGTTTGTCACCCATTGGAAATGTTTCTCTAAAGTTACAAAGCTCATCACTAATAAAGTAGGCATAGCATACTCCTCCCACTTGTATATTTTTGGGGAACAACGTGGTTTATACATCAATTTAATATGAAACCCAAGAGAGGTAGGGTGGAAGAACCAAAGACATGGAATATCTCTAAAAGGATAATGCAATTCACAAATCAGGTGCTACTTCTTTCAGAAAGTTTTCTGTGACTGTTCTAGCAACATGAGCTCTTTCCTCAGAAGCTCAAATGGTCCTATTATGTCTTCTTCCAGAGGTTCTCCACTGTCTGCATCAGAATCACCTAGAGGGCTTGTTAAGTATAGATTGTCTCATACCCAGACTTGTATGTTTTGAGTGACTGATTATTTGCATTTCTAAAAACTCCCTAGGTGATGTCGATGCTGGTCCCAGGACCACCCTTTAAGAAACACACCTCTAGACCACTTATCTAGAATTTAATTCTCTTATCTTTGGTCAAA